GTTTCGCGAGCCCGGCTCCGCGCGGGGGTTGGGCCAGCTGGAGCGCATCGTTGAAGCCCTCCGGCGTGGCTCACAATGACTACCGGAGTGTCGTCGTCGAGTGGTGCTCTCTGCTGCTTTGATCGCTGGCGCCTGTTTGAATAGTCCATCGCACATGCGACATATGTCCATCTCATTGTAAATGAGAATCGACACCTCTTAGCACAACTCATGCATTTTGACCCATCTTCAATATTTGAGCTCTTAAAACTCAAAGGAACACCCGACCTGTTCAACCATTAGTTTTATGCGAAAGCTCAAATGTCTCGTGACCTTAATCCTTTCCTCTCGGATTTTTGCACTTCTATACTCGTTATCCTGCATTTCGAGCCCAAATCTTCCAACATAGTTTTTTTTCAGAACTACGAAAATGCAACGAACAGCTCTTTTGCTCGCCTTACTCCTTTCTTGTACCTCAGCTTTTCTTCAAAATCCAATTTGTGCAAGCTGTTCCGGTGGCAATACATATGGCTCATACAGTAGCTATCCAAATATCAGGTACTGTAATTTGAAACACAAGAATTTTAAAAAGCAGAGCTATTTCTATTATAGCCCAAATCCACTGGCATACTTTAATGGACCTACAGATTTTGGTAATCAACTTGGGAAAGCCATTGCAGCGAGCATTAGTGATGTAAGTGTAAGTTTGTATTATAGATGGTCATATATTCGTTTTAAAATAACGTTGAACTTAGCTAGTTGTAATAACCCCTAAAGCACACTCTTTCCAGTCTTACTCGTCCGGCTACTCTTCCAGTTCATCGCAACCAAAATTGACGTTTGGCTCATATCCACAGTCCGGATTGAGTACTCAGACCTACGGTGGTGCAAATGACTATGGACCACAAACCTATGTGATCCAACCTGACCTCTATGGCGGAAATGCTAACAGCTACGGTGGCCAAACATATGGCAACGTACAAACCTACGGTTCACAAGGAGGATATGAGAATCAAGGATACGGTAACCAAGGCGGATACACGTTTAGCAGCTTTCCCAATAACAACGGTTACGGTAACCAATACATTGGGCAACCAGCCACCAGTTATGGCCTCAGTAATTACGGTAATATGGCGACAAATTACGGTAACAATTATCCCACCAACACATACGGGGTTCCTGATCCAATCACCACTGGTGGCGTATCTACTGGCAACGTTGGCAGTTGTCCTTACTGTTTCGGCAATAAGGGCGGTTACAAGACGAAAAAAGCGAAAAGAGAATCAAAATCAAAAAAGGACTGAGCTGCTAACGAAATATTGATATTTTCTTCAAATATAAATAAATAATTTATTTATGTTGATGATAATTTGGAAGTGTATATAATAAAGAATATTCTGTACTGTGCTTTTGTGTACTCACATTATGCTGTCATCTAAAAAAAAAGAAAAATCCTTTATTTGTGTAAAGCTCTATATACTTATACTCCCGAAAGAAATGGAACAAATATTATAAATGAAAAAGTATTATATAGATTGATGCGAAGAAGCTCCAATAATACAGGGTAGATAAGATGCATAAAAGACCTAAGAAGTTTGGATTTGTAACGAGAGCGGCTAAACGTAACACATCGAGCCC